CCCCAAAACCCCAAAACCCCAAAACCCCAAAACCCCAAAACCCCGAGTAGTAATAATAAAAGTGAATAAAGGATTAAATATATAAATAAAAACATAAATGGAAGGAGGCAAAAAGGACCAGACCATGAAGGAGAAAATGAACAGAGCTTACCTTGACTCCAAGATCAACAGGATTATAGAACCCATGGTTGTAGAATTAATGAAAGAAACCCCAGATGACCCTATTACTTATATGATAAAGTGGCTCAAGGAAAATCATGGTAATCGAGCATCCATTCATGCAAATGAGAGATTTGAATTAGAGCATTTGAGAAAAGAAGTTCCTATCCTTAAGGAAAAATTATCCGAACTCGACAATGGAGAAGGAGACTATGATGATAAAGGTTCTGAAATTGAATCTGAGATCAGTGACGAAGACGATTATGTAGATGACCTCCCTGCTGTTGTGGATAGTAAAATTAAAAAGCAAAGAACTTCCGTATCTGCTGAAGCATTTGGAATTTACCACAAAAAGGAAGACTTCGAACCTGTTGTCATTGAGAAAACAGATGAAGTAAAGGAGAAAATCAGAGAGCAATTACAGAATAGCTTCATGTTCAGTGCATTGAGCGAGAAAGATCAAAATATTGTACTTGATGCTATGAAGGAAGTAAATATGGAGCAAGGCGACAATGTCATCCGCGAAGGTGAAGACGGAGACGTTCTCTATGTTGTAGGATCAGGAACTTACGATTGTACTAAGCACTTTGCTGGGGAATCAGAACCAAGACACCTTACAATGTACGAAGAGGGGCATGTGTTCGGTGAGTTAGCCTTACTCTATAATGCACCAAGAGCAGCCACTATTACATGCAAGACTCCAGGAGTGCTGTACAGCTTGGATCGAGCTACTTTCAATCATATAGTCAAAGATGCCTCAGTCAAAAGAAGAGAAAAATACGAAAACTTTTTGTCGCAAGTAAAAATTTTAGAATCTTTGGAGCCATACGAAAGGGCAAAACTAGCGGATGCTTTCAAAGAAATCAATTATTCGAGTGGAGAGTATGTAATTAAAGAAGATGAGGAAGGAAATACTTTCTACTTCATTTCAGAAGGAGAAGCTATTGCCACTAAGACACTAGAAGCAGGTAAACCTCCAGTTGAGGTAATGAAATACCACAAAGGAGATTACTTTGGGGAAAGAGCTCTCATTAAAAATGAACCAAGAGCAGCAAATGTTATTGCTAAGTCAGACATAATAGTCCTCAGTCTTGATAGACACATGTTCAAGAGGCTCTTAGGTCCAATTGAGGAAATATTAAAGAGAAATGTTTATGAAGTACCCAAAACATCATAAACAAGCATGTTCGGTTATATAAAGAAACTAAATTATTTCAGCAATTCGGGAATTGAGAGGGGTTTTGGGGTTTTGGGGTTTTGGGGTTTTGGGGTTTTGGGG